GTTTTACGGTACAGACATTCTTCTTTAGTGTGTATTGAATGCCGGCAGGCTGGCTAATTATCTGATTATGGCTATGTTGATTTGCTTTACCATAGACTTGATGCCCCAGCAGGGCTATAGCACCAGATAGCGGTAAGTATAAGCAAAATACAACCCAGCAGCAACAAAAAGGTAGGTAGTGATTGCAGTAAGCACACTCATCAGACAAATATGTCTATCGTTTCTGCGCATGCACTCAGTGTATGGCTCGTTGCTCAACACTACCCGTGAATATGTGCTACGCCAACCAAGACACGGAAGGCAAACGTGCATAAATCCCTCCAGAGTCTTCTGAGCTCTGTATATTGCAGACTGAGATGTGCGCAATTCTGAGTAGTTCTGCATTGCGAGGTTGGTGATCGCGTGGGCATCTCGCCATCGAGTGGCAGAGTACTCCGCCAGTGCGTCACTGCGAATCTTCGCTGCCGCACTGTCAACTTTGCGATTACTTTTATCGTCCCAAGTGAGTACCTTGATAACTTGATAACTTGTGTGTGTTTGTCCAACATAGAAAAGAGAACACACACATCCTCCATACAGCCATGGGCAAAACGGCCTTCCACTTTTTAAAGAGCTCTGGAATTGAAACGTCGGCCCCACACAGTCTTAATTAAAGCCGCAACGCACTATATACCTCTACTTGAGGAGCCAAGTTGTTCCGTTCCAGCCATGGCCCAACCACGGCGTCTGTGTCAGGTACCGAACAGCTGGTGGACATCTCGGAGGTGGTACCACAGGGCAGAGAACAGTAAGACACTCGTTCCATGGCAGCCAAGACTTGGCTTGACAAACGATCAATGTACTTAGCGCCCGACGACTTGCCGCCTCACTAAGTTACCAAGCCTAAAGGCCATTGGCACAGGCCCAGCTTAGGCGGGGTCACGTCTGCGCCGCGCTCCAAACGATTGGGCCTCGATCGCCCACGATCCTTCCCCGCCTTCCCGTTGAGCTGATCTGCCTCCCTGTCATGTCACTTCGACTATATCTCTCCAATTCACTTTTCTCCCCTCGGATACTTCCTATCTAACGAATATACAGTAAGTCGGTGTAGCGATGGAGTACACTACAACTAGAGAGCCAAACCCTGTTGACAGCGAAGGGCTTTGCCTGTTGTCGCTCGACGGCGGTGGTGTCCGTGGCCTGTCAACACTCTTTATCCTGAAAGGCATCATGGCACGGCTTAACCATGAACGCAAGAAGTCTGACCTTCCCTCTGCGAAACCCTGCGAAGTTTTCGACTTGGTCGGGGGCACCAGTACCGGTGGGTAAGTTGAGGCCGTCGCCAACCATCGTTCGACGCTAACCTACTAGCCTCATTGCAATCATGCTTGGGCGACTTGAAATGGACGTCGACGAGTGCATTTCGACGTACATCGATCTAATGAAGAGGGTGTTTGATAAGAAATCGAGCTGGCTGCCTGTCTCTCTCGGGGGAAATGTCAAGGCACAGTTTGACTCGAAGAAGCTCCGATCCGCAGTGGAACAAGCGATTAATCAAAGTGGGGCTTCCCCCCAGGACCGTTTCAACGATGGGCAATCTCGGGGCTGCCGGGTGTATGTACTGTACATACATTATGACAAGGTATTCCATACACTAACGCCAAATAGGTTCGTATGCGCTGCTGCGAAGGAAACTAGCGATATTACGAGACTTAGAAGCTATGATTTGCCAGGCAAGACAAGCATTGAAGCAACCATCCTTGACGCTGCTCTGGCGACTTCAGCCGCTACCCGCTTCTTTGACCCTGTGCGCATCGGCGCTCGCCAATTCGTCGACGGCGCCCTCGGAGCAAACAACCCCGTCGAGCAAGTCGAGCGAGAGGCGTCAGATATATGGTGCGCTGATACAGCGGAGCTGATGCCGCAGGTCAAATGCTTTCTATCAGTAGGGACAGGCCATCCGGGAAAAAAGGCCATCGAGGATAACATGGTCAAACTTTTGTCTAAGACCCTGGTCGGAATGGTGACTGAAACCGAACAGACAGAAGCGCGCTTCATAGCAAGGTGGAGGCAGCATTACGACCTTAAGCGCTACTTTCGTTTCAATGTTGATCATGGTCTTGAAGGCGTCGGCCTGGAGGAATTTGACCAACAGGGAACCATGGAGGCAGCGACGGAGAGCTACCTTGATCACACAGCTCAGATCACGCGCGTGCGAGACTGCGTCTTAAATCTAAAACAGAAGCAGAGTGTGTATATTGAGGACTTTTCTTAGCAATACAAAAGAGGGAGCATATTTACTAATGCAAACTTTGGGATAGACGAGACTCCCACCGCGTTTGCTTCTGTCATTCGCGTAAGATGATCTCCTATATCGCTATTGAGCTCAAGCTTACAACGCCTAGGAATACTCCATTCGTCTAATGAGCCAACAGACAAGTGCGTTATGTTACTCTAGTTGAGCCTTTTCTACTAATATATCCATAGATTCACGTGAACCTTGCTGGACGGTTCCTTTCCAAAAAAACTTACGCTTCGTTGGGCGCGCCTCGCTGCTTGACAAGCTAGAAGCGGCGCTAATTGCTAAAGAACGGCCGTCGAAAATCTCACTGTTTGGGCTAGGAGGGGTAGGGAAGACGCAGGTGGCCCTCGAGCTAGCATATCGGACACGAGCGAAATACCCTCAATGCTCTGTTATCTGGATACCCACGAACAACGCCGCCCGGCTGCGACAAGCATACATCGATGCTGCAGAACAGCTGGGAATAGCTGTGACAGACGACAAATCTGATGTAAAACAACTCGTACAGCGCCACCTCAGCCAGGAGTCGGCCGGTCGATGGTTGTTGATCTACGACAATGCCGATGATTTTGACGCGTGGATCCCAAGCACTGGGAGCCAGGATGGACTGCGGGGCCTACTCGAATATGTACCGCGAAGCAACCAGGGCTGCGTGGTTTTCACGACGCGGAACAAAAAACTTGCTCTTAGACTGTCGCCGGACGGGCTTCGAGAAGAAGTTACGCAAATGGACGACAACACTGCCCTTCAACTCCTATTTGGCCGACTCAACCAAGAAGTGCCAGAGAGGCATAAAGAAGGCCAAGCATTGATTAAGGCACTTTGCCACTTGCCACTGGCGATTGTCCAGGCAGCTGCATATATTGACGCGAATGAGTCTTCTTTCGAGATGTATCTCGATCTACTCAACGAACAGGAGGAAGATGTAGTCAAGCTTTTGAGCGAGGAGTTTGGGGACGAAGGGAGCTACGGAACGGTCAAAGACCCTGTGGCCACGACCTGGCTCATTTCATTCACACAGATCCGGCGGTCGGATCCTGTGGCCGTTGAGTACTTGTCACTCATGTCCTGCTTTGATCCCAAGGATATCCCGCGATCTCTTTTGCCGCCTGGGAAGTCACGCAAAGAGGAGGCTGATGCCCTGGGAACATTAACGGCGTACGCATTTGTCAGCCGACAGCCGGCGACGGCATTCCTCGATATGCACCGGCTTGTGCATCTTGCGATGCGGAACTGGCTAAAGCGAGAAAAAACCTTTATCTTATGGATGCACAAGGCAGTTACAAGGTTAGATGCCGTGTTTCCGGCTGGGGATCACGAGAGCAGAAATGTATGGAGGCTATACTTACCGCATACGCGTCGTATCTTGCCATTCTGCTTTTCAGGAGAGGCGGGTGAACAAGAAACGAGCCTTGCATGGAAGTTTGGCCTGTGTACGTATGAGGATGGGTGGTACAGTGAAGCCGAGAGCTGCTTTTCGCATGCAACGGAGACTAACAAGATGAAGCTTGGGGCGGACCATCCCTCCACGCTGACCAGCATGGCCAACCTGGCGTCTACATATAGGAACCAGGGCCGATGGGACGAGGCGGAGGGGCTTGAGGTGCAGGTGATGGAGACGAGCAAGACGAAGCTTGGGGCGGACCATCCCTCCACG